CATTCTATCGTACACACATGCACACTACTAACACAGAAACTTCAGAACGCTTTTACGCTATTAAGTCGCGTAACGACGTAGCCAGCATTTACTTTCCAAATGCGTCGCATTCGACGCGAACAAATCGTGCAAAAAGAAAAAAAGAAGAAAAAAAGAGGAAAGCTTCCTCCCAATATGTGTACAGGTATATATGTATGTACCCCTGTTCACGGCTATTTGAGGCTCTAATTACAGGTGTGTATCGCTCATTGAGCTTCACGGGTGAAAAGCTGGCCTCGTTAGCGAAGTAAGAGGCAAAGTTGTCTGATGGAGTCGCGTGTCCCTCGTTCGACGACGCATCAGCTGTCACTAAAGGTGACTTTTCACCGTCTCCGGGATATAAAAGGCGGCCATACTGACCCCGAATCGCGGGTTATCGAATCGTGCCTTCACCAACAGATAGGCATCGAGATGCCGTGCGTACTGACATACAGTGTGTCGCTCTCGTGACAGCGAGCGAAGCGTGCTTCCATGTTCGCGATTTTCTCGACTGACAGCCGCGACCTTCAAACGTTTATCGGCCGAAAACTTCATTTGGTGATTTCTCTCAGTTATATACACAGTGGTCCTTCGTTTTTGGAAAGGGAATCTCGATGAATTGTGGTAGAGAACAAGTGGGATCAATGGATAATAATACGAGACGAAGAGGATGGAATTGAGCAGCATACTCCTTTCAGGTATGCTCGAAGTATAAAGTTGAATAAATAGAGCAGATATTCCGAGGATGTTTAAGAAGTGAATAGAAGAGATTCTGGTAGCGGTTTTAAGGCAACGTTTCGCTTCGCTTGATGATTTTATTACCATGGATGGAGAAAGGTGGCACAAACTACCGAATTGCGTAGCTTCTGTTCGAGAGATGTCTGAAACATATTCTTATTCCAGTTGAACATAATTGTTTAATATTCATATACGATTTCGAACTCGAAGAAGGTACAGATTAAAAACTAGAAATTAGGAAATTTACATGTAAATCGAGAGTTAAGTATAAACTTCATGTACGTCTTCGTGCGTACAGCTTAACAATCTTGCGATTAGGGCTACGATCTACTTCGAGTCTCGAGGTAAATTCGTGTCAGCCATTGATAACAGTAATAAATAGCTGGAGCGTAAAATTTTAGAAAGTGCTCTCCGCGGCGCATAACTTCCGGCCCCGTGAACTAATCTTCTCCGTTTTCTGGTGGTTCGGCGTGGCGGTGAGGTAGGTCAGCATAGTTCCCCCCGGTGATGCCGCCTTTCTATTCGAGCGACTCGCCGGGGAACAAGGAAGCATAACGAGGCGGCAGCCGTCGCAATAACAGACGCGGCTATATTCACGGAAAGATGGAAAAATGAACGCTCGTTGCTTAAAAACGTAAATGAAGTTAAGTTCTGGCTGGGTGCGCGCAGCAGTTCTCAGTATGTATCCTCTAAAATCTATCCTCTATTGCAGAAGATTCTTTCTTCCGTCTAGGAACATGCTTAATCTTCGATCAACACGATTAATGAGATTAATAAAACATTTAGTTTTGTTATTGACAAGGTTAGGCACGTAAAATAAAACGTGACACCGTTCTTAAAGAGTTTAAAGAAACAATCTCTATAGTAGAAAAAGCCTGGAACAATTTAAACAGTCGAATACAGAAATTAGATGGTTCAACGAAAAACAACAGTAAACTCGTTGAAGAATCTAAATTTATAAAATGGACGCCAGAAGGAAGGCCATCTTATGTTAGATGCAATCTGGCCGAACGTGGCGTTTGAAGGTTAGCAGGCCTCCTGGCGTCGCATCGCCGCCTAATAGAATGACTGGTCGTCTGACCACCATAACCTCGCCAACTCGTCGACCCCCGCTATACGTTCCTGGGATAAACGCAACGAGTAAGAGATGAGGCGGAGGTGTAAGCGGTGGAGAAAGGTGCAGGTGGAGGAAGTAGAGGTGGAGGTGGAGGAAAGAGGGTGGGCAGGGTCGAGGGTGAACCCCTTATTGATTTTTAGGGTGACACTGTCAACCGGCGAGTGTTGAGTCCCCCGCGACGGGAAGGACTTTGAAACGACGTTGAAGCGAGAAAAAATGTCGTGGCCGCTGCGCCATTGCACGCGCGAAAAGCCATCCCTCCACGTGAACTTTCTCTTCTCAATGATCGCGAGGATTTCGTGCACGGTCGAGCCGAATCCTCGGAACACGAATAACCACGAACCACGATTTTATTTGATTTTTGTCTTTTTTGTGTTCATCGTGTAAAAGTGGCGAGTGCGGCGGCGGCAGCGGCAGCGGCGGCGGCGGTGACAGAAAAGAGTAACTGTGGCGAGGCGCAGTCCCGTTGCGGTCGGGGGTTCAGCTCTCGGCGCAGGGCCGTACGCATCCGTGGGCGACTCTCCACGTGGAACAGCTGCCTCCTCGCGTCGTCTTGCAAGTTTTACCAACGTCTCGGCCAGTTGAATCGTGTTGCTTACGTTAGTTCTCGCGAACTTTCGCTGCGCTGCTCAGCAAATCAATTCTGTTCCACTTTTTCTCCTCTCTATGTGTAGTAACAAATCAAGTGGCTACAGTCCTAGTATACTCGTTTCTTTTTTTTTTTTTTTCATCTAATTTTTCCCCGAGAGCCACGCCATCACCGCGAGTCCGCAAAGTCGTCCATGAATGAGCAGCGAGTGACGCGTGTGTTTTCCGTAATTGCCTTTCGTGCTTGATCGTTCCTCGATATCCTCGCCTGGTGACGTGCGTTCTTTGTGTGCCATGCTTTCTGCTTTTCTGCCACTGTGTATGCCGTACGCAGAAAGTAACTTTCCAGTGTTCGAGGTGAAGTTTCGCGTTTCAGAAGGATTTTAAAGAACACGAAGGATCCTGGTGTTTCTCTACATTCTACAGTCATGTCAGTTTCTATTTTTTAATAGCGGGAGGGAGGGAGAGAGAGAGCGAGTGAGCGAGAAAGGGTGGGAGGGAGGGAGAGAGAGGGGGGAGAGAAAGAGAGATAGGGTGAGAGTGAGAGAGAGAGAGAGAGAGAGAGAAAGAAAGAATATTCGATTGAAAATCGAAGGGAGGAGGAATAACTGAGCGGGAGAAGTGGTGGTGACGCGTGTCGTCGTACTGTCGTGTGCCGCTGGCTGTGTGCGATTGTTTCTCGCCTGGGTTGTCGCACGGTGACATCGCTCTTTACGAACGAACCTGAAACTGACCGGCGTCTCGTGTTGTTTACAAATCAACGCTATTACGTTGCTGCACGTCGTGTACGCACACATAGACAGAGAGGAGAATTACTGTTCGCATGCAACAGGCGACACCGCGTTGCCAAAGTTTCCTCTTGATTAATCGATCGGAAATTAGAGGCAGGTCCTAGTGTGATAACTCTCGCTAAGAGATTCAAATGAATCGCGCGCCATATACGACACGAATACGGCGAAGAGTGGAGAAGGAACGCATACAGGAGTGCGACGCATTGGCGTAGGATGCGGCGGGGACACATCTAGGGAAAAATCGCTGAAAAAGTTTCGGGTGCACGCGCAAAGGAAATATCAGTCTCGTAATTACACGAAGCTAACGCTACGTGGCTTAGAATCGATACGAAGCGGATTATATCGACTGTGGTTCAACGGAGAATCGAGAGAAAGTAAGAAGAGGGATTTTTCGAGCGTCGAGGCAAGTCACGGGACAAACGACGCGAGAAAGACGAACGTTGGGCTGCTACGTGTGCCTTCATGGGGTGTGTTTTCAGTGTGTTCGGGTGGGGTGTCAGCCAGTGTTTGCCGCGGCGTCGGCTGATTCAGCCAGTTTACTAAAAATGGCAGCGTCGTTCGGTTTTCACCTATGGAATAACAATTACTGGTTGAGACCAAGGAAGAAATCTAGTTGACATCCGGGCGCGGGTAGCCAGGAGGGACAGAGGAGTAGCGAACACGTGGTCTGTGAGGGAGCAGCTAGCCTCGTTTACTACTAGCTGCGTGTGTCGACTAGCTACACCCCTGGCGCACGTGCGTACGTGTATTTCCTCGAGTCGTCGCGTACGGTGCACGTGTTAGTGACAAATACGCGAGTGAAAGTGGACTAGTGACTTTTTCGTGGCGTGACCAGGCTTCTCGCGAGCTTTCTGTATTTTCGTCCGCGAAAACTGTCTCTTGACAGATGAAACCTGACGTTTCGTAGCGTCAATGACGACATCGTCACACAATCCAGTATTTACGATGTAGTTTCGAGTATAAAATAGATAGAGTGTCCGTACAGGAAAACGAAGAAACGTTTCACCGTTGAATTCGTAGGATTATAACACGATTCAATCGATATGAATTAACATGTGCCACAAAAGAGCACGGTAAATAGGAACTTTGAGAGTGCTGTGGCGCCACCTGCGCGTACGTCCCTGGCGAGAGTCGTCTGTTGACTCTGGTGGTGTTTATTCGCGCTTGCTTGCCTCTTCTCTCTCTCTTGCACCGGGTCATTTGTGTTTGGACGATCGTGGATATTTTTTGCAATGTGATGGCAAAATGAATGAAGATTAGCGTGATGTCGGACCTGTGCACGCGCCTATCAGCGGGTGCGCGCCTGGATCTCGACTGGAAAGCTGCCGGAACGTCTTGAGACACGTCGAAAACCAGCGTGAAAATGCCGGCAACGCGACCGCACAGGTGCCCATTGTTATCGATAGCATTCACGTTTTTCCATGAGACGCTCAACTGGCAGACTGCGAGTACGGACTCTTGAAAAGTATCGCGAATCGTGTTTCGTCCGTTTTAAGTGCCCAAACGTCGTTGGGGACTCGCGAGACGCGTTCCAACTGCGTTAGAGGTTAGGTTACCGGCACATAACCTTCAACCGTCTGTGAGCGAAACTCAAGTTGCTATATACGGTTCCGTGGCCTCGTTTGATAGTGAGATAAAGTGCATCGAAGAAGATTGACGTTATTTTTTTTTTTGGTTTGTTCGCGACGTGCTGATTACTACTCAGTGGGTGATGGGTGCAATGGAATGAGCTGGGTGACCATAGGACAATGAAGGCCAATGGGACAAACAATGGTGATTTTCCTTTGTCTCTTAGTTCATGTAGAGCTTCTTGGATAGGTTATATTGTGTGCTGTCTTACATAGTATGTCCTTAGTACCAGCATCATTATATCAGCATTGTTTACATTGTGTTTATGTACTGTTTCCATGAGCGTAGCTATACAACGAAGCTTATAAAGTGTTGCCATATGAAATGCATGTAGAATATAGATAGAATAACAAGGTGAAGCACCTGTATTGCATATTAATAAGCTTGAAAGTTAAAAGTAACCTTAGAATCTTTACGTACTATGAAATACTTGAAGCACAACAAAGATTCTACTCTTATTGAAGCTTGTAACTTAGAAAGCAATAAATAGGACATCAATATATAGCATCAAATAACGGTAGATAACAGGTTTCTCCAATCTGTTACAGTAAATATTAGTCTAGTGTTGTTGAAACATTAGTTTCTACGTATAATGGAAGTGAGTTTGTATGTATGTTGAATCGAGAGAATGATAGTATTGATTATAGTAATTGTAAGCTGTGTAATGTGTTATGGGAATGTGAATTACATTAGGAGTAGTGTCAGAGGGAAAATATAAAAGAAATTGAATGCTTAATCAAATGCATTTATGAAAAGCTTTCGTTCGGACTCTTATAGTATCGATACTTTTATTTTCTGTAACTGTTACATTCACTAGTACAAACAATATGTGTCCTGTGACACATATACATCACACGAGACTAGCTTTTATCAATGTATTTTATGTTATGCAGTAGCAACTAGTTAAAAATGGACTAAACCAGAGTATAAGTAATAACAAAGAAATTTCTTCATTCCAGGCTGTAGCCGCCTAAACACGCCATTGGCAGCCACCACCACACTGGAGGATCCGGGAACGCCAGCCTCTTGGAAGGGCCCGCCGCCCGGCTCGGAGGCATCGCCCTTTACACCGAACTCCGTCAGCCAGGGTGGAGGCCCTGGTTCTGGTCCCTACAATAGTACAGGTGGTCCACCCAGTAATGCGACCTTCCAGGGCCCCAGCCCGTTCCCTGGTGGCGCTGGTAGCCCAGCGGGCGCCCCGCCTTATCAAGGGCCTCCCCCTGGTTCCGCGACACCCCAGTATACTGCTTCGCCGGCGCCTAGTGGGTCCTCGACACCCGGTCCTGGACCACCGCCGAATTCTTCCGGTTTCCCTCCTCCACCGAATAATTCCGGGCCCCCGTACAATGGGCCTGGACCCAGTCCATTCGGTTCGCCATCTGGCGGCCCACCTCAGTTCGTCGGCCGACCCGGATCCTCGGGACCACCGTTTGTTCCTCCTGGAGCAGGGAATCCTCATTTTCCCTCGCATGGCCAACCGTTTGGCGGGCCTCAGTACGGGATGCCACCTGGAAGCCCATTTGGCCCTGGTCACCCGATGACAGGACCCATCGGACCTGGACATCCAGCGATGATGGGACCTGGTGGACCTGTCGACAGGATGGACCAAGGGTGAGTTTTGGAACATCTTTGTTTCCGACGCGTTGCTTAATAATTAAACGGTTACAATTTTTTTAGAGAGCCGCGATACAAGGAAGAAATTATAAGCTTAAATTAAATCAGACAATTTTTGCTATTAAAATGTACATTTATTAACTATGCATGAGTAAATTTTTATTCAAAAATGTTAACAATTGTAAGAGGTGGGAAGGTTTTGTGTGGTAAAAGAGGTTCATTATTTCTCGAGATATCGATCTGAAATTTGTATGATATATTCTTGAAACTTGAAGCTATTCAAATATTTCAAAATCTCCTGCTAAATGTAAGCTTGTAATAAGCGTACGATTATCTGTTTTACTTGTTAAGCAACGCGTTGAACGAACTTAGTATAAATAAGTAGTCCTACCGTATATCGACGCATGCTGATCGATCGTTTATTCAATAAATTCCTTAACTGGAAGCCAGGTTCCTGTGAAAGAACATGTTGCACGCAGTAATCGACGTTAAAATGCAAATGGATTAATCCATATTCCGTTATTGCTCGTACATGATATCACCGTCGGGCTTTCGTCGCTTCCAGTTTGAAAAGTCGTCACCATTAGCGTGTAAAACATAAGAGCACAACGTGTTATACGTTGTCGGGCCGCTAACATTCCTAGATAACGCGGTCCACAGGTAGCCACTGTTATTTATCACTCGTCTCCTGGTTAGTCCGCATTCTTGCTGATAATGCCGTTTCAACAGGGCTGCGTTCTTGCCCTTTAGAAACGGATCTCGATCGTTGGACGCTTCTGCTCTGGTCGGACAACTAATTCTCGAAATCGGTTACATACGGAGCGAGCTTGTTCGAACGCTTTCGATACGATAAAAGCTACAGATGTTTCGGTATGGGCATAGGGGTCGTTGGATGTCGTGTATCAGCGGGAAAGTTATAAATAGCAACAAAAGTAGCGACTATTTTTAAACGATAGTCTCTCTGGATAGTCAGGTTTTTGCTCGAGACGAAATAAATTTATGTTTCATCTCCAAGGAACATATTAACATTCACTGGCCAATCAACATATATATTTTTTTTAATAAACCACATCTTCGAAAGTTTTGTTCACATTTTTTTTCATTATTCTTTTTTGTTATCTAAGACGAGATGAATTTGTTAGTCTTCCTAAAATCTCGTAGATTCGTAGTCTTACAACAAATCAAGATGTAAGCTGACTCTTTTTTTCACTCTCCTCTTGGTTGCCAAACTTTTTCTTAATCGGTGCCAGCCACTATGAAAACATATTGTTGTTAAGTAGCCTTTTTGCAAACAGAGCAAGCTGGATTGCCTGTGCAGACGAAACCTGTAATGAACGGCGCCAGCAGCGGGTAGCTCTCGGTGCTAAACTTGGCAGCCGTGTCAGTGATTCACTATCTGTGATCTAGATTATCGATACGCTCGAAAAATATCGCGCTATCGATGCTGCTCTCGAAAGACTTCGTCGTTCTAATGTCTCGTATCGCATATGTGTACGATAATTTATACACAAGACTGACTGCGCCATATAGAACCGCGTAAACCAGTTTTTCGAATAGTTTCTTATTAACAGACGTCTCTAAAAACGTGACTCGTTTCCTTGCTAAATATCTGCTGAGGGCGCTTGGCACACATTATTCAAATTTCCGTGCATCGATAACTGTGAAACTGGAGTCTCCGATTGGAAGAAAGGAAAAAAAAAAGATGAAAAGATGTTGAAAGAACTCGTAATTCGCGTAATAAGTTTTCACGACAAGATCCGGAATTATCGAGGGTGATTTTCAGGCGCGCGTTCCACACGCGAACCATCAACTTTATATGCGTGGGCACGCATGAATTCCTCACGCGTGCAGTTACGCGCTCTGCTCGAGTTTACAAGTACCTTAAATCTCTGTAAACTGTTGAGCCTGATCGTGTAAATTGGAGAGAAAGCTGACGCGTTGCTAATGGCAGATTTGCTTCATTGTTTATTGCAACTTTGAACCGAGCAAAATTTACACACTTCTATTTTTACCATGACCATAGAGGTTTGACGTCAAGGCGATCGATCGAATCATCTCGTGTTATTACTTCTTTTTTTTTTTTCCGAGTACAATTGACAGGTGAATCAGGTGGTTCTTACAAAGTAAGGGAGAACCAGTTGGTAATTGATACCGCGTGAAATTTATCACCGTGTCTGTACATGTATGTATAATCACGAGGAGACACACACGCTCTGTTGTATCGTTCGAGGTTTCATTTAGGACACACGTGAACCGCATAAACAACCGGTCTCCGCTTTAACGAGGATTTATAAAACGGCAATGATAAGATCGTGCAGGACGCGCGCGACTCTCCTAATATGAATTTTAATTTCTGTCAAGCTTTAATTAACCCTCGCTAGCCCTATAATTTTCTCGACGTTGAATAATTGTCTACCTGTCGCAACTTAGTTCGCACTTCTTCCCCCCACTCCCACCGGGGGAGAAACGCGCTCCGCAGTGAAGAAATTGCAGCAAGATAAATTTGTAAGAATGAAGTGGACTTTTGCACTCTGTTCGTTCTTCTTACTTTTCTGTTTTGTATTTTCGCCCTCTTTTATTCTCTATCGTGTTGTAACTAGCGAGGTGTATTGTCGGTGGGTAGAATAAAATAATGGTGTTACACTCTTAGCAGGGATTGTACCGGCAGGGAGGTGACGCCATACTTTTGTAGGAGGTAGTACGCGACCCACCTCCCCTTTTCTCCCTAAACCCTCCTAGCCACCCCGTGTTACGGAGGGTGGGTGAACCAACGAGTGGCGAGAGTGTGGGGGCAGGGCGGGGGTGGGGTGGCACGAAGGTTCTCATATTTTCCGTATTTTCATTTTTCACGACACACAGATACCCATCTGAAAATTATTCCTCGTTCTTTCCTAATTCACGTATTTTCATTTCTCTTCGATCGATCCGGGTGACGTTTGAATTATGTTTTATTTTATTAGAACATCAAGTTTTTCATATAATTCACTTTTGGTTTTTCGTGACCGCTAGAATAACCCATTTGTTGGTATCGTTGGATCTTGCTTAAGATTGAGAACTTTTGCCATTTGAAAATTCGAAATGTTTGAAAAATTTTTAAAAATGGCCACGATGGTTACTGTAATTTTTTTCCATGATGGCGGAAAAGTTCGTTGAGAACCGCTCGAACGCTCGCAGTGCCCCCTCCTGCTCTTCCTTGCTCTCCAAGGGTTTGGGTTGGGGGAGCAAGAGGGACAGGGTGCTAGGGGGTGCGCGGTGTGAGGAAGGGTGAACGAGGGATGGGAGGGCTAGAGGGAGTGTAGGTAGAAAAGCGAGGATGGGGTGGCGATCCGTCGGTCTGGGCCCAAAGCAGAGCTCTCCGCTCGTGCGTCTGCCACCACCGTTTACACTTTCGCGTGTAAAAGGGGATCTTGGAACGTCGGGATCTCCGGCGTGCGTTTCGTTACCGTTTGTCTCAGATCGTGGTCGAGCCGCGGTTCCACGCTGTTACTCCCACGGAACGTTTGAGAAAACGAGCAGGAGAAATACGTATCGCTTTATAGCGGTCGCCTGGCCACAAGGAGGGTTTGTTTATACCGCGTTCTAGCCACGGAGGCACGGTAATTGATCGGTACCCCGTGGAACACTTCGCGTTTCCGCTTTTCGTTGGCCATTTATGGACGTTCCATTCAGTATCGGTTAATTCACGCTTTCTTTCATGCGTTCTCTCTTGATGCAACTGTAATTAGGCATATCAAAACAACTGTGATAATGGCTGTTTATTCCTTTACGAGTTAGACTCTGTTTTATTTCATTTCTTCCAATTCTAGCGTAACATCCTGTAACTTTATTTAATAATGGCCGTGACAGTACTTCTCTACGTTCAAAAATAGTAGTAATTGAGAGAGAAGGAATAGAAATTTGTTTCATCAAAGTTGGAAAGTTCTTTTCACTGTACGTTTTATACGTATTTTATAACAAGTATTTCTTATATGGTATACATTGTATCCTATATTTCGCTGAGCGTCTTCCGGATACGGTGAATAGTTAAGGGGCCAAGGAATTGCGCGTGTAACGTTTATCGATGGAATAGTTTGCAATTGTAATGAGGAAAAGAATGATCGCGGCAGAGGCGTGGAAATGAATAAAGAACGTGGCAATTATCGCGTTCGAAACGCGCAGACCGTAACTTGCGTAGAAATTGTGTTCTATTTATAACGATAGTTTCGCATCGAACTTCGCCAGGGAGTCGCCGCCCTGAAAAGTATTATTATTAATTAATCGTTAATTAATTTGTTACACAACTGTTCCGCGGTATTTCGTATTGTTCTTTTTGAGGAAAGGGGGAAATATAATTAATATGGAAGAGCAAACACAAGACGACGCCGCGCGTTGTAAAATGCATTCCACTCGTTAGAGGGGTCTCGCTAGGGGAAAATTCATTGGACACTCTAAAAACCGCTATAGAAAACTGTTCCACCGATAGAAAGATGATTCGTTTCAACCCTTATACTCTGAAATGTCATGTTCGTCCAAGGGATCAAGGGATTAATAAAGCAACGAAACATTCGTAGGACAGGAAATGATGTGTCACTCTGGTCGAAGGTCCATATTCTTCTCGTGCATTATTAGCCGCGATGGCGGTGCACCGAGGAAAGAGATAGTATTGATTTTTACCGATATTTAGCCGTGGAATTATCCCCCCTCTCTCTCTCTCTCTCTACGTCTCTTTTTCTTTCTCTCTTCAGCCAGCTCTTTCTCTCCTTACAGCCGTCTGCCTCCTTTTGCTGCCTCGTTCCTCCCCTTCACCGTTTCTTCCCCTCCTTTCATATAGCTGCTTCACCCTTGTCCCCCTCAGGGCCACCCTCCGCAGGCTGCGGCACCCTTCGCGAATCTTCGAGGAAACTAGGTGCCGGGAACAGAAAATCTGAATACCTATGACCCGGAAGAACGTTTCTATGTTAAGTACATGTTGAGTAACGATGAAAAAATCAGGCCTCGTACCATCCCCTAAATTCCAA